TTTAGTGCCCTTTGTTTCAAGAGGTTTTTCATAGTCTTTCTTTATTGGAATATGACGAGGTGATAAAATCTCTTGACTCTTACCTAATTTATTTCCTCCACTTTGTTCACTATCACTAAATACCTCATTAGAAAAAGGAGAAATACTATTTGGTGTGCCTTCATCTGGATCTTTTATTGTAGAAAGATCAATACAAATCTTATCACTAAATTGACAATAATCCCAAGGAGTTAATCCTTTTTCAGTCTTACAGTGTATTAATGATTTGTTATCAATAAGTAATTGAATCAATTTCTTGTGGCTATTAAGACAAGCAATATGTAATGGTGTTTCACCAAGTAAATTTTTACCTCTTACTATCCTTCTATGAGAAATAAGTTTTTGTGCCAATTCAAAGTATATAACTTCATATTCCTTTTTGACTTTAATCTTTGCAAGAATATGTAATAATGAATTTCCATTTTTATCTGCCATGTAATAATTAATATTCTTACTAATTAAATATTTCACAGTGTTCCATTGTTCTTGTTCTACAGCATAAAAAAGACATGACTTCCCATAAACATCCTGGTAGTTCAATCGTTCTGGATAATGTTCAATGATATAATTCACTACTCCAACATTATCAGTTTGACTTGCAAGTCTCAATAATTTAAATCCTTTTAAAGTAGTTTTAATCCAATCATTTTCTTTGCTGTTTTCTAACTCTTTTAAAACAGTTTCACTTCTTTTTTTCCTTAAACAATCGATTAATTCTTCAGCTTTTTGTTCCTGTGTTGGTTTAGAGAGGAACATGCCTCTTTCAATATTTTGAAGTTCTTTCCGATGTTTCCATTTTTGCAGTTTGTGTTTCAGATTCTTGAAGTAACATCTCGTTATTAATTTTGTATATGAAATGAGTGATTGAATCACATCACTTTTGGACCTACTGTTCTTTCTTTTGACCTGAACATTTCTGTAGCCCATGACATTTTTCCTTAGTACGTCGAGTTGAGTTTATGCGTCATACCTTTTCATTTGACTTTCTGTTAAACATAAACATTTCGGATGAAAAGACAAATTGAGTTATTGTGGGTTAAAGACAATTTATAGAGGATGGAATAAGTTAGTCACTAATCCAATAACTATAAAAAATGATTTGGTTCTGTACTATGAAAAGCTCTAGCATTTATAAAATGGGTTAATTGAATAGCCCAATGAAAATCATAATTAACCTTAGAGTAGTTCTGGAGACGGATGATATTAGTTAAATAAGTTATAACGTTTTAAACCATCAGTAAACCCCTAAACCAAGGTAATGAAATTATAAGTCACAAAGTCCCTTTTTTTCTTTTTAAGGAGCAACATTTTCCTTCTATACATTTTATCAGATAAGTACCTCTCACATTATAAAAAGAAGGCTATACACAAAATCAAGAATAATGGCTATGTGTTAAACATGGTTGTTTAATACAACCAAAATAAAACTTTTAAAACATTTTGTATAGTTTAAAAATTAAGAGATATTAAAGATACTTCCCGAAAATATATTGAAAAAAGGACCTTAAATTTAAATATATTGAAATGGAATAGAAGAAGAGATAAATGAATAAGGTCTTAAAAGAAGAAACTAGGCTAACGAGATTAGAGGACCCACCAGTATCAAAGAGAGTAGGAATTCTATGAAAATAAAAAATGAAATCAAAAATAACCAATGAACTGATAAGTCCAGACGAAAATAGTTTGTTTTTAAAACCATTACCTTCATGTTTTTTCTTGGTCGATCCAATTTTTTAGATTCTGTGTTGAGGTGTAATTTAATTTTGTAAAAAAACACATTAAAACAATAAAAAACTCACACCGAAGGGAATGAATTATTGGACAGGGATGTTTCAATTTCCACCCATGCAATCACCTATTGACATTCTTCTTGGAAAAGAAGATTGTACATTAGAAAAGTTAATGAATGACGAAGATTTTATTCAAGAACTTCGTTCAAATAATGATCTTATTGAATTTTGTTCTGAGCCATATAACTTAAAAAGAATTCTTCAATACACAACTGAAGACTTTCCAGAAGATGTGGACAAAAACCTTTGTTCAAAATACCATATTATTTGTTCATCAATGTTTGGGGATGAACCAGTAAAAGTTGTAGATGCTATTGGAACTAATCCAGAATTAGTTAATTATCTTTTTGATGCATTATTAAGTGAAAACGAAAAAAGAATGAGTGCTGCAGGACAAGTTCTTATGTCATTAGTTCAAGTAGATGGTTCTGTTGTTTATGATTTATTTATTGCAAATGAAAATATTTTAGAAACAATTATGGCACATCAAGACCTTACTGGATTACTTGAAACAATTCTTCAAATAATGAAATTAGAAGATAGTAATGAAAAAACTGGATATATTAATTGGATATGTGAAAGAAATTTCATTTCAAGAATGTTAGAAACATTAATGACAACTAAATCAATTGATACTATTGGAAATATTTCATCATTTATTCATAACGTTGTATTATGGAAAGTTTCAAGTGTTGATTCACCAGCACTACAATTCATTACACGATTTAATAATGAGCCAACTTTAAAAGAATTTATTAGATATGTTTTTGCATCAGATGATGACTTCTTAGTAGAACAATGTTTTAGAATTATTAGTAATATTCTTGCATGTTCAACAGTCTTAACATATAGTGACTTAAATAATCTCCCAGGTATATTTAAGGCATTAATGCCACATGTCTGTGATTTTGAAAAAGTATTTACTACAAGGAAGGTAGGTAGTATTACAAATAATCTTGTTTATATTATTCTTTCACTTGTATTAAGTGGATTCCAACAGGTATATGATACTATTGTTAAAGAAAATGTACTTGGTTCAATGATGGATATTTTTTATGGAGACCATTTATGTACAATAGTAAGACAAACTATTCAAATGACTGTTTCATCAATTTTAAATGGAAAAGTTAATTGTTTAAAATTAAGGTTATTAGATGGAGGAAATTTGTTAACAAAGATGGTCGAAAAAGATAAAGAAGCCGTTGAAATTAAAAACGTCAACAATATTGCACCAGATTATTGGTTAATTGCTAATCAAATCATGATTAATACACTTAAATCAGTTGAAGATAAAGATGAAACATCACCTGTTTATGAATTAGTTATGGGTAACAACGAATTTGTTAATTATGTTAAGGAGGTTGTTCTTCCAAGAGACGAAATAGTTTCGGATTATTTTGTTAAACCAGGTGACCAACAAAATGATTCAGATGAATATACTGATGATTCAATTGGATTCCAGGAAGACGATGGAGATTTTGATGGCGGTGATTATGAAGAAGATGAGGACGGAGTTATCGACAGTTCTAAACATTAATTCCTTTTAATTAAATTTTTTCTAAATTAATTCATTTTGCCATTTTATTTTTCTTTTTTTAACTGAAAAGACAATACTTTTATTAAAACACCAATGAAAGAAAAAAATATCTTAATTTTTATTACAAACAGTTTTTCAAAAAAACTTAAAAATGAAAGGTATAATATAAAATAATATAGAAGAATAGAAAGAATAGAAAAATAAAAAATAAAAAAATAGGATAAAATGAAAAAATAAGAAAGATAAAAGAAATCAAATAAAGAATATACAAATTAATTAAGAAATAAAATCAAAAGTGTGATAGTTTCAATGTGTTAAAAGAAAAGGAAAAAGAAATGATTAGAAGAGGTATATATAAAAATAATGATAATAATGATGGTCATATAATATATAATGAAAAGAAGAATGAATAATTGAAGAAGAAATAATATAGAAAAAGATATAAAAAATTAATAATAAAGAAGAGAAGAATAAGATAAAAGAAATATGAAAATAAAAGAATAGAGAAAAGAAGATGATAAAATAGAAATAAAGAAAAAAGGAATGAGAAAGAACAGTAAGTAAGATATAAAGAAAAGAATATAAAAAAAGAATAATAATAAAAAGGGAATGATATAAATAGATAAAAAAAGGTAAATTAGAAGGATAAAAGATAACATAATAGAAAAACATAAATAAAAAGATAAATAAGAAGTTAAATAAATAATAAAATAATAAGAAAAAGAAATATAAAAATGAATAAAAAAGTAAAAGTAAGTATATTAAGAGAAGTATAGATGAAAAATAAACATTAAAGAAATAATAAATAATAAATAATATAATAGATTAAATATCAATTAATGAAAATAAGAATAAAGAATATAACAAATATAAAAATTAAAGACTATCTAATTACAAAGTTAAATAAGAAATAATACTTTAGATAAAACAATAAGAAATAATTTCATACAAAAAATAATAATACTATTAAAATATCAAATATCTATCTAATTTTTCACAACATTGATCTCTTATTTTAATTAACTTATGTTTATTTTTTTTAGAAGTTAGTCAATGAAAAGTTATTTTATATTAAAAAGAAGATAAACAATACTCTATTACATTTAAAAATTGTATTGAAAAGTTTATCAATTTTTAACTTTAAAACAATACAGACAATTATGAGGTGATTAAGAAATTTTTTATCAATTTTTTTATTAAAGTACTGGAATGTTATCTTATAACAAGTTTAGGTAAAAAAAGAATTGATTAATAAGAAACACTTCAATTAATGAATATGTAACTGTTCAAAATCACGCATACATTTAATTAATGCATGAACAGAATCGATTGTAACTGCGTTATAAATTGAAGCTCTAAAACCACCAACAGAGCGGTGACCTTTAATACCAATTATTCCATTTTGGAAAGCATATTCAGAAAAATCATTTTCAAGTTGGTTGTAATGATCTTCCATTACAAAACAAACGTTCATAATTGATCTATCTTTCTTAAGTACTGTTGTTTTAAAGATTTTATTTCTATCAATTTCAGCATATAATAATCGAGCTTTTTCTTCATTTAATTGTTTAATCTTTTCTAAACCACCTAGTTTCTTAATATATTTTAGAGTTTGATTAACAGTAAAGATAGATATTACAGGTGGAGTGTTATACATTGAATCATTTAAAATATGAACTTGATAATCAAGAATTGTTGGTATTTTTCGATTAACTTTACCTAATATTTCTTTCTTGATAATAATAATAGTAACTCCAGCAGCTCCACAATTTTTTTGTGCACTTGCATAAATTAAACTATACTTAGAAATATCAATTGGTCTTGAAAGAATATCAGAAGACATATCTGCAACAAGAGGAATAGGAGATTCAATATCTTCTCTTATTTCTGTACCATAAATTGTATTATTTGTAGTAATATGAAAATAATCATAATCACTTGGTATTTGATATTCTGGAATATATGTATAATTCTTATCTTTTGATGTTCCTATTATTTTAACTTCTCCTATATTTTCTGCTTCTTTTATTGCTTTACTTGCCCATATTCCTGTATCAAGATAACATGCTTTTTTATTCATTAAGTTCATTGCAACCATTAAAAATTGAAGTGAAGCTCCACCTCCAAGAAATATTATTTCATACCCTTCTGGTATATCCATTACTTCTTTCATCATTCTTTTTGTTTCTTTCATCACTTTAATCCATTCTTTTGTTCGATGAGATATTTCTAATATTGAAACTCCATTCCAAAAATTATTTATTGCTTTTTCTGTTGCTTCAATAACTTCTTTTGCCATAGTACCAGGTCCTGCACTAAAGTTATGAATACTCTTACTTCTCATATTAGTCTCTGTCTGTCATTCTTTATTATAAAATCTTTCTATTAAATACTGAACATTCCTGTTTTATTACTTTTACTATATTTCTATATTTAAACTCTCTTTCCTCTTCCCTTTTTTGTCTTTGACGTCTTATCAATTTTTTAAACAATTCTCCTCTTCTTTACATCTTTCATTCTTACTTTTTGTCTTTTTTATTTCTTGTTAGTCTCTTCTTCTTTTCTATTTAGCTCTATCATTATTTGACTAACAACTTAGTCCGAACAATTCATTTTCTTGTCATTCCTTTTTACTTCTTTATCTCCTATTGCAAAGACCTTTAGATGTTCTCTCCCTTTGTTCTCAGTTTAGATTAACTTGTAAATGACTAAAATACAATTTCATAACATTCTGAATGTTGTTATAATGAAAATAAAATGAAGTATTACTCAATATAACACATATCAAACATAAGAAAAAAGCGGAAGAAATCAAATAAACAATATTAATCAATCACTTTCATGAAATGTTCCGTTTATGAAAATAAAATTGAAGGTTATTTATTGTTTATAAAATAAATAACTAAAAACAACAAAACACAAAAACAATATTTATTCTAATAAAGCTAAAGCCAACCGAGCACGTTCTTGTTTAGATCTCTTTCTAAGACCCTTAAATACTTCAATATTTTTATCAGCTGAACGGACACAAAAATCACAAATTCTTTGAGGAACAGGATTAGGAGGAACGATCTTTCTGTTCCTTGAGCAAACATCACAAACAACAAAACCACACCGTTCACAATGATACTTAAAACAAATTATTCCGAATTTTCTTTTACAAATGAAACATAAAGTTGCTTCATTAAATGGTTGGTATAAAGGAGCATCAAAACCAACAGTATCAATATTTTTGGAAAATTTTTTATCAGACTCTTTTTGAATAGCTGATTTAAGATCATTGGCCCAAGTATTTCGTTCTTCTATAGAAGAACAAATAACAGTAAAAGACTTGAAAGGAGATAAAAGATTAAAAGTGTTTGGTTGTAACCCATCTTCTATATGTACTGAATTTAATCGTAAATACAAATTAGGATAAAACAACTGTAGTTGCATCCTCCCATAAACTAAAATATCATTAAACAAATAAAAATAACGTTTTTTTGGTTTTGTTTTACTTAACTTGAATAAAATACCTTCTCTCATAATATATCTATGTGCTTCAACTAATGTAAGATGATAAGGACCTTCACAAAACTTCTTTTTTATTGCTAGTAACTTTCTTCTATTATCTTGAAGTTTAACTTCATCATTAATTTCTTTAGCAAGTGACTTCAAAGACCCAACTAATGCTGTTGTTTCTTCAAATAAAGGATCGTTTCTATCTGTGTGTTTTAAGAAATCACTTAGTAATAAATTATAACGAGGGATTCTCTGTATTGGTAAAATTAAATAACTCCGCAATGGCTGTACAGTCTCACCTTCATATCCATATTTACTACAATGATGAAGCAACTTAACTACATCTTTCATATGTTCAGCTTGTTCAACTGCTTGTAGCCCAACAGAGTTGTTTCCAACAAACATTCTATAAACTCGTAGATATGGTAATGTACCAAGAAATACTGATGATAATCCAGAGACTAATTGGTTCTTCTCAACTAAATCCTCAAGTGATTGTAGAAACACTAAATTAACACGAACAATATCTCTATAAAACAAAAATATAGATTTATATAATGTTGGAGGTAATAACGGCGGCTCACATGATTGTAATGGATCTGCGTAACATCTTAAACACGTCATTAACATTTTTACATATGTACGTTCAGTTGTTAGTAATTCTATTGCAATTTTCTTACGATATACCTCTCTTGGAGTTGTTAATATAGTTGGTTTATCACACCTAACGTTGTTAAATAATTCTACTGGTAATGTATGTGCCTCAATAGAATGAAAACAATTACTACATCTCTCATCAGGTAAATCAGTCATTCCTTCAAATCTGTTACAATTACATCCTTTAACTCTACACTTACCTTCATGCATTCGAGGAAAAGAAGGATATGATTGAGGAGATATTGTTTCCATCTCTCACTGATAAAAAAATCTTAAATTTCAAGATGAAAATAAAAAAATAAATCAAATATAAATTACCTATAATTAGGTTTTCATCATGTTGAGAATCGTTTAAATTGTTATCTAAATTTTATTTTGAATTTAATGAGTATTAAAACTCTTCATTGTTTATAATATTATTTTATGACGAATATATCAATAACACCACCAATATATCCATCTCCTTTATCATCAACACCACTTAAATAATCCCTTTTTCTTAATAACACCTCATTATATTCAATTCAAAACTATCATTAACAAATATACTTGCGTGTTGATAAATAATACGACCATCATAATAACCAAATAATTTTGTAATATAATAATAAACAACAACCCCCAATAATAATCCGTCATGACTATCATTCATAATAAACATTAATAAATAATAACCAATTACCTTGGGTATGAAGTTATTTCACCAAAAACATACTATGACTAGGAGATAACTGACGAGTCGAAACTTAGATATATAGGACTATATGTGGTTTCTCTGATGCGCCACATTCGAATCATATCAAATAAACAAAGAATAAAATAAGATAATAGAATAAAAATATCAAAATAATTCATCATTCATTAAATATAAATAAATTATAATATTTAATATTAATAAATTAATTATAAATGAAATTGATATTACAAATTAATTATAATAATTATATAAAATAATAAAATAAGAGAATATAAAGAAGAATTAATAAAAAATAAGATAAATCATTCTTATTCTTATTATTTATTATATTTGATTTTATATTTTACCTTAATTGATTTTTATCTTTTCTTATTCATCATTCATTTCTTCTTTATATTCTTTATTATTATTTTATATGAGATGATCTTTTATCATTTTAAATTTGTTTATATTGTTTGTTTTATATTTTATTATTATTTTATTTTTTGTTATCTTTTATCACTTATTTATTATATGTTGTATTCATAGTTATCTTGTTAATATGAAATGAACAATAATGAATAAATATAAAAGAAGAATAAAAAAAGAACAGTGAGATGTAAAAATATAAAACAAATTAAAGAATCGAAAAAGATTTATATAATAGATATAATGATATCATTAATAGAAGATGAACAAAACACAAATTCATTTATCTTATAATATAAATAAGATAAAAAATAAATAAAAAAGAAAAAAATAAATATTTTATTATATTTTTATTTATCTTTTATTCTTATTTCTTTTTATTATTTATTAAATTAACATCCTCATTAGGTGTGATTTTTTCAAATGAAATAAAACAAGAATGAAATATGAACATTTTTATATTCATCATTTCATTGATTGATAGATGAAATGTTCATATTCATTTATTGATTTGATTTTAATTCTTTTTTAGTTTTTATATTTCAAATAAATAATAATGAATAAAAATCATTTCATTTCAATTACAATGAACCGTTTTGGTGTGAAACCAATATTTGGATACTCATTTCCACAAAGGGCATTTCTTATTCCTTTATATTCAAACGAACACTGTTTACAAGATGATTTTGTTTTATTATTTTCTTTACCTATAATAAAATCCCATCCATTTCCATATCCATATCCAAATACAAACAAATATTCACTTGATTGATTACATAAATAAAATGCATATTGTGGTACTTTAATATCAAATTTCTTCATTCCTTCTATTCTTCCTTTTGATTCTAATGAAAATAAAAATGATTTTGAATCATTTATAAAATCATCAAGTTTATCAATTTTAGAATTAACATATCCTCCAAATTTATTTCCATTTTCATCTTCATTAATAATTATTATATGTTCTTTATTTATCAGTCTTTGAATAAATGTTATTGTGTTCTGATTCCAATTATCATTATCTGAATCAAATAGTACATTGGACACTTTTCTTGATGTCCATTCTTCTAGTTGTTGAATTTCTTCTATTGTATTCATTCCTCTCATTATTTGTAATCTTTCTTCTTCTTTTCTTTTTTTCTCTTCTTCTTGTTTCTTCTTTTCTTTTTCTTCTTCTTGTTTCTTGTTTATCTCTAAATAACCACTGTAATATTTGTTCCATTCTTCTTTCTTCTTATTAAATCTTGTTTTAATATTGTTAATTTCTTCTTCTAATTTCTTAATTTTATCTTTCATATTCATTTCTTCAATTGAAATGATTTTATTGATTAGCTCATTCTTTGTTTTACTTAATATTTCTTCATCCTTATTATCTTCTATTATCTTTTCCATTTTATTCTTTATTATTTCTATTTTATTTATTGTTTCTTGTCCTTTTTCTATCACCATTCTTCTTCTTCTTTCTGTTTCATCAATTCTATCAAATATCCCTTCTCCTCTTTTAATTGCTTGTTCATATGTTTCATTATCCCTCATTTCAAATATTTCATTTTTAATACTTCCTAAATAATATTGATAATGCTTAGTAATATCATCAATTGATTGTTGAATATTTGGAAGTGTTTCTACTACTTCTTTATACAATTGAGTGTTCTTGTTTGTTAACTCATCCATTTTAATTAAAATGTCTTAAAATTTAAGATGAAAAGAAAAAAGGAATAGTCAACTCATTTAGTTTTTGGCTGGAACATTTTCAAGAACAAATTTCTTTAATTCTTCAACAGTTCTTTGTTCTTGGAATTTCTTGCTTTCTTCACCATTGAAAACAAGAACGGTTGGGAATCCTCTAATTCCATGTTCTTGGCAAAGTTCTCTGTGGTCGTCACAATTTACTTCAGCAATAATAACATCTTCATTTTCAGCAAATGCTTGTGCAACTTCTTCGTAAGTAGGAGCAAGTCTCTTACAATGTCCACACCATGGTGCAAAGAATTTAACTAAAAGAGTTTTTCCACTATTTTGGTAAGTCTTAAAGTTATCTGGGTTGAGAGAAACAAGTCCCTCTGAATTAGCAGAAACTAAAGCAACCAAAAGAAGAGCAAAGAAAGTTCTCATCGAATAAATTATTTTAAGTTCATTAGTCTTTTCATTTTGAACTTTTTAACTATCAAAAAATAATAATATTTCTTATATTTTTTTATTAATTTAATTAGTAAAAATAACACACTTTTTTCTTTTCATTTCATTATTAACTACACCCACTTCTTTCCTATGAACCACCTTTTCATTTGGCTTTTCAGTTGAATAAACTACACTTACTTCCTCTATAATTTTTAAGAAAAATAAATACTATTTGATGTTTAAAACACATTATTAAAAATAAACAAAAATTTGTAAAACAACCCTAATAAACTATAAATATTGTTTTTTTTTATTATAGAAAATACTAAATAATAAAAGGAAAAATAAATAAAAATGAAAAAAAATATGAAACGACTTCATTGAAATGAACCATAAAAATGAAAGTAAAAAAATAGCAAAAGAAATCAGGGTGTCATTGAACATGACCAACACATCAAAGGACATTGTTCAACAACTATTGTTCAATGAGTCTAGATCTACTTCTGCACCTCCTCAAATGGATAGAATTGGAAGTTCTGGAGAAGTAATTAGTTTAGAAGATTTAGAAAAACAGGCGTATAGAGCTCATCCTGAATATCACCAGTATTATTTCCAACAAAAACCTGCTGATCCAAGATTACCAAAACCATTGTTTGCCTGGAACCTTCCAAAAGGATATGAAACTGTTTTAAAGAAAGCATTTAAAACAACACCATTTAATTTAGATAAAATATTAGAGGGTTTGTCAGGTCCTAATCTTCGAAATGAATTAGGAGTTGAAAATGAAGAGAGTTATGAAGAAGAAGATGACGAAAGTGAAGAAGATAGTGAAGAAGACAATACAAATGAAAGTTCTGAAGAAGGGGATGATAGTGATGAAGATAATGAAGATACAGAAGAAAGTTCTGAAGAAGGAGAAGAAGATAGTGAAAGTTATGAAGAAGAAGAGAGTCAAATGAATAGATATTCACGTTATCAACAACCATATCAACCTAATTACCAGTACAATGGAAATAACTATCCAATAAACTTTGGATACATTTATCCAATAAATGAAAATGTTGCTCTTGATTATGTTTCAATGAGTAAAGAACATAATGGAAGTAGAACAGTTCAACAAAGTATTGAAAAAGGAAGTGAAGATGAAAGACAAAAAATATGGAGAGCACTTCAAGATCATATTGTAGAGTTATCATCTGATTTATTTGCTAATTATGTAATACAAAAAGCACTAGAATTTATTCCAGAATCACGTCATATTGTTCCACAAAAAATGAAAGGGAATGTATTAAGACTTACATTACATATGTATGGATGTCGTGTCGTTCAAAAGGCTGTTGAGTATGTCTCAATGAAAGATAGAAGATTATTGTTTGAAGAATTAAGGAAATCCTTAGTAAGATGTATTGAAGATCAAAATGGAAATCATGTTATTCAAAAATGTGTTGAAAAAGGAGATCGTCAAATGGTTATGGATATTGTTAATGCACTTCAAGGAATTGTTTTAGAATGTTGTAAACATCCATATGGATGTAGAGTTGTTCAACGAGTAATAGAAAGTGTTGATTATGATTGTGTAACTGAATTATTACAAGTCATTGAACCACATTCACTTGATTTAACTGAAGATCAATATGGAAATTATGTTGTTCAAAATGTACTTGAACGAGGATATCCAAATGATCGTCATAATATCTTACAACAAATTAAAGGAAATATTGTTCGTTTGTCTATGGGAAAATATTCATCAAATGTTATTGAAAAATGTTTTAAATTTGCTACACCAAATGAACGTCAACAAATTTTAGAAGAAATTTACCAAAATAATGGAATTTTACAAATGATGCAAGACCAATTCGCTAATTATGTTGTTCAAAAAATTATTGAAGCAATTGATAGTTTAGAACGTGAAAAGATAGTAGAATTATTCATCAAACCCAATTTAAGCATTTTAAAGAAAGTTACTTATACTAAACATATCTTAAACTTATTAGAAACTCTTGATGACACTCATTTATGAAATTTATGTTTTTGCTACTTTGTTTTTTTGTTATTTTATTATTTTTCTATAATATATAGTTTTTTTATAAAAATATATTAATTAAAAAGAAAAAGAATTAAATTAAAGAATATGTTCATTTGTTGGTTCATTTAATGAATGTGATGAAGACTTGTATGAACGATATAGAGGCATGAGAATCAGAATAAACAAAATAATTAGACCAATAAAATAACCAATTGGATTAATTGTTTCTGGAAACATAGAATGTAATAACAAAGATAAAAAATTAAAATAAAAATTATAGTTCAATAGTAAATTTACTATATTTAATTAATTTTGTGATGATGTAAAGATAGATCTATAAATCTCATCATCATCTTGGTTATTTACATTAACTTTTGCTTGATCAGCAATTGTATTAGCAATTGGTTGAGTTACTAATGCAATTTTATTTTCTTCCTTTTGAATGGACTTTGTTTTATTTTGTTTTTGATCAAAAAGTTTACAATGAAGTTCCATTTGTTTTTCCATCTCTTCCAGAGGAGGGTTTAACAGAATAAATTCTAATCCTTCTGTTTCACATAATGGGCATTTGTGTCCATTAATTGATTTAATTTCATCAAGAGCCAATTTAGAGATAACACAACCACATTTTAGAGCTACAAATTGGTGACCTGGACTGAATTCTACTTTTTTTAATGGACAGACAATCATCCCATTACTCCATTCGATATTTAATTCAATAAAATCTTTTTTATTATGAATATACCTTAATTTTTCAGGCATTTCGTGGTTAATTAAAGCTTTTAATAATCCATCTTTATTGTATAACCTCCCAACAACATCACAGACAACTCGTTTCTTGAATAGTTTGTGTGTTAACGAACAATAACGATACCTATCCTCAGTGTTATATTTTTTAGTTTCTTTTTTTTTGTCTTTTACAAGGTCATCCCTTCGAGCAACAACACCACCATCACATCCCATATCTCAATCAATTGGATAAATTTATCTGTTCTTCACATTTTTTATTCTTTCATAATAATTATAGTAAACTTATAATAAAAGTATAGTTTTGAAAAGAGATTAATATCTTCAATAGAAAGAGGAGTATGAAAAGATTATGAACAATAAATTAGGTTTGAACTTAAAAAGTTGCTTGATCTTTTGTTTTCTCACTTTAAAATTTTATTACAAAATGTTTGGTGGCTTTGGTGGTTTTAGTTCGAATAACCCTTCCTCTACTAATGGTTCACAACAATTCAATACTATGGGAAATACTAGTAACTCAATACCTAACATGGGAACAAATACATTCGGAGGAAATGGGACTGGTACAAATTTATTTGGAGGAAATGGACTAGGAACAAACACGTTTGGAGGAAATGGACTAGGAACAAGCTCTTTTGGAGGGAATACATTTGGAACAAATTCATTAGGAGGAAGTGGGTTAGGAACAAATACATTAGGAACAAATACATTAGGAACAAATACATTAGGAACAAATGCATTTGGAGGAAATACACTTGGAACAAACACATTTGGAGGAAATACATTAGGAACAAACACATTTGGAGGAAATACATTAGGAACAAATTCATTAGGAACAAATACACTTGGAACAAATTCATTAGGAGGAAATGGAGTAGGAACAAATACTGGGCCAGTAATAGGAACAACCACACCACAAGATTTTACTAAATCACGATTTCCAACGGAGAGTATTAAAAACAGAGAGTCAATTCAAATTATTCCAGAAAGTAATAAAATTAAAAGAGAAAAGAAGAAACAAGAAGTTGCAACACCAACTATAATCAATGAAACAAATGAAAAAAAATCAAAATTAGATGATGTATTTGATCTTTCTAGGAAAAGCACAACCAATGAGCAACCACTTTTCTTAAGACGATTTAATCAAACATTTAATTCACCGTATAGAGGAAATGGAATGGTACCATTAATACGTCCTTCATATATTAATAACCCAACACAAAGACAATCAATTTATTCATGTAGTCCAATAGGAACATTAAATCCAAGTTATAATTGTAATATCAATAATAGTATAGTGAATTCTATTCCTGGAAATATTTCAAGAAATAGTATTTTACCAAATACAACTATAAACAATCAAACGAGTATTCTTTTTAATAATAACCAACAATCTGTATTATATGGACTTAATCAAGGAAATAATTCTACATTACCAAATAATCCAATAGTTCAAAATATAAAAGAGTATGCTATTGTTTTATCTAACTTAACAATTCAAGATACTCCATTAATTATAAATGTATTATCACAATTTGGGGTTATTGTTAATGTTATTGAATCGAAAAATGGAGTTAAAGTGATATTTGCAGATGAAACAGTTGTTAATTATTTAATTAATATGAAAAAAATAATGATTGCAGGAAAAACGTGTTATATCAGTGATCCAAATGAATCATTTTTATTAAAACTTTTTGACGGACAAACATGGAAAAGTTTGTTTTCTAATTTATTTAATTTCCTTTATTCAATTTGGAATTAATTGAATCATTTATAAGCGAAATGGAACTTCTTTAAGTTTATTATTTTTAATTAAAATAAAAAATAATTTAATAAAATAAATTATTTTGTTTTATTTCTCAAATTAATAAAAATTAAACTAATTTAATATAATAAAAATAATTAATTTTATTAAATTTAATAAGAGATTATAAAGAATTTTTTTTATTTTTATTTTTTTGATAAACATGAACTTTCTTGAATACAAATTGTTCTTTGTATCGATTTTCCTTTTTTCTTTCTATATTTTTAACCCTAAAACATTTTTCCTTTTTTTTTTGTGTTAAATTTTTCATTATAAATATAAAAAAAATTTTAAATTTCAATTCAATAAGAACTTATGAGGAGAGTTCAATTAGAAAAAGTGTATTTAGCAAATGTAATATTATACTCTGACTCATTAGAAACAGTAAAGAAGTTTATTCAGATAAATAAAAAATGTGATGATGTAAGAAAAATGATAAGAAAAGCACCAAATTTATTTAGAAAAACAATAAACAGAGAAGAATATTGTTTTAATAAATGGGATGGGATTTTTATAATGAAAAGAACAATTAATGAATATCTTGCACAAGTGGCTGGAGAAGTATTTCCCAATATAAATACACTAATATTAGAAGGAGGTGAAGTGCCAAGATATATTAATCAATTAGACTCAGTTGATAGAATCACTTTATATGACCCACCGTTTGATCTTACTTTAATGGAAAAAATAGAAGATTGTATTGTAGAATTTATATGGAATTATTCACCTGTTTCATTAGTTAATATTGGAAAAATGAAATTATTAAAAAGATGTAAAATTGATATTGGAAGACAAAAATTTAATATAAACTCAGTTTTTAGTAATAAACAACAACATTTAAAAATTCTTCGATTAAGTAACATTGGTGATTATAAAGAAATAGAAGAATTTAAAGAATATAAAAGTATTGAAAGAATTATTATTGAAATTGATGATGATACAAAAGAAGAATATATTGAACAAATGAGTAAATATGCAATATTAGTATCTGATCAATGGCATAGTCAATTAAATAAAAAAGTTATTGTAATGATGGATAAAAAGTTTCATTTACAAATTAAAGAGAAACCAAATATAGAAACATTAGAATTTATACAACAAAATTATTTACCTTATAAAATGGTTATTGATGCAGATTATTATGATGGAATTCAAAACCAATTTAAATTATTTGATAACATTATGAAATTAACTTTAAATATTGAAATAGACCCTCAAGAAGAAGTAGATCAAGATGATATTATGCAAAGAAGAATGGATAGAATTAATGGTATTGAACGTTCGGATGACGATGATTTTGTTGAAGAAACAGAAGAACAAAAAGAAGAAAGAGAACGTCTTCATAAATTAGAGATAGAAAGAAGAAAACATTCAATAATTCTTCCTCAACATTTAACTTCATTAACTATTAATGATATGACATCATATTTTCATCAAACATTGTCAATTACACTTAAAGAATTAACTACAAGTAATATTCCTATTGATTTTATTTATTCATTAACTTCATTAACAAAAATTAACATTTCAAATACAAATATAACACAATCTCTTAAGGGCTTAGAAAAATTAATAGATATAACTTTTAATTTATGTGTTGATAAATGTTCAGAATGTATTTGTCCTCATTCTGTTAAATGCTTAAAATTATATAACTGTAGAAATTGGAAATTTCAAGAATTAAATCATTTACAATTACTAGATAAACTTATGATTTATGATGCTCGTCCAAATGTATTATCAGGGCTGCAATTAAACGAAGCTACTTCAGTTAAAAAATTATATTTAAATAATGTAATTACTGCTTCAATGCCAACTTCATTAACATGTTTAATCATTGGGTCTGTAGGAAATAAGGCTATTGATATGACAAAGTATCCTCAATTAAAAGATGTTTGTATAGAAAATTCAAATCAAGTTAGAGTTAAATTACCATTATCTATTAAATCCCTATACCTTTATTGTTCTTCTATTACTATCTTTAATAAAAATGATATTCAATTAAAAGAACTTCATTTAGAAGATTGTGAAGATATTAATTTTGAATCATTTAATTTAAATTATGTCACAAAACTCTCTTTATTACCGTTTGATGAGAAATACTTAGACTACTTAGAACAATTCCCTGTATTAGAAGAAAGGAATTTTAATTAATTAATATTATTCATTCTTTCGTTTATTATAAGATTATATTCTTTAAAAAAGTATAAACTTTATTTACATAATCCTTTCTTTCAACTCTCAAAAATAAAAAACATTATAGTTAATAATATAAATATAACCTTTTTATTTTATTTAATTATCTATGAGTGAAAGTGAAATAACTTATTTAAAAAATATGATAATAACCATTAATATATGGTCTATTTATAGAATAGTCTTTTTTAAATGTTCAACCAGACTCTGTTTTATCTTTTTATATTCAAGACTGCTCATTTTCTTCCACTATTAAATTTCTTTTGTTTTTATGAAGACTATTTAAAAGGGATTGGTGAATAGTTATTTCTCTTATTCATTCCTTCAATAATTGTTCTATGATTTGTTTTAGTTTTTATGTTGTGTTGTTTGTATCCCAACACAGCAAAAACAAAACATTTTATTTAGTTTTTTCAATTTATAAAATTTAATGAATCATTATAACCTCTTGTTTTGTTTTTCTTGTTGTAAAAAAGTGAATGAAAGAATCAGTTTTTGTTACTCCTTTATAAATAAACTATTTGTTTTCATTGTTTAAAAAAGTTTTATATACTTAATATTATAATAGTTAGTATCCATAATTTTTTATTACAGTTAAGAAGTTCAATTTAATTGATTTTGTTAATACTTAATTCCTTCTTTTTTTATTTATAAAAAATTACTTCAATAACATTTCTTCTTTTTTATTCAAAATTATTTTAGCATATCTTAAATATTAATTTATTTATATAACTAGTTGTTTTGAACTTACAAGAATGTTAAATATCGTTAGATTCTTTTCATAAATATTTTGATATTTTAATCAGAAGAATGAGTACATAAAGAATCTAACTAAAATGTCAAAAATGTCAAAATAAAAAGCAATTAATAAGTATTAATAGAGTTGTTTCTATTGTTCCTGGCTCACCGGAGACTAATCCCATCAATGGGTCTTCGTCATGTAGTTCCACAACATGTGTTTGGTTGTGGTAGAATCAGTGTTCCATGACATCCATCATGTTTTTAATTACAAGGTTTTTAATTTCTTTTATGATGTTAATTTCAATTTTTAATTCTTTAATTAATTTAATATTTTCAAAATTTATTAGCCCATTAATCCAAATTACTACTGCAATTATTTTGACATCCTTTAATTTCTCTATTTTCATTACCCTATTTTTCAATTCCTTATACTTATTTCTTTTCTTCCAATAGGCTCCATTAATATTATGATCTGCCACAATAGTCATATCAATTATTAGACCAGTTTTATTCTTTTTCTCTAGTACATATATGTCTGGTATTTTATGATATAGTCCATCACTTTTTGGCATTATTTGTTTGTTCCATATCATAGTGATGTCATTGTATTGGAACACTGTTTCATATAGGGATTTCTTGTATTGTTTATTTCATGTGTATTTTCTTATTAACCCCTCCCATATGATAATGCCAATATGGTCATGTTTCTCCATTTGTGATTTTTTATGACCAATGCAAGATAGTAGAATGTGTTCTACTGTGGCTATCTTGTATTTACAAAGTGGGCAGTACTTCAATCTTTCATTTTTTAATATTTTTACTTTCCTGTACCCACTAAATATTGCTCCATCTTGTATTTTAGTTAATTGGAGAAATGAATTTTTCTTAATATTGATGGACTTCCATGCATTTATTGTAGTAGTTTTATCTACAAATTTTGACTCGAACCATCTTCTAAAATGTCCACTTGTTTGATTTCTATTTTTTGATGTATTGGTTGGTTATTAATTTCTTTATTTTTACTACTACTTCTTTTTCTTTTTTATTTTCAATAAATTCATTTATTATTTCTTCTATTTTCGTTTCTGGGATTTTATGACTTAGTGATTTTTTAATTCTATTCCATATTCATTTCTTGGAATACCATCTATCTAATATGTTATTTCCTATTTCACTTTTGTACAATAGTACATTATTGTTCTAATTAATTCAATAACATATTCGTCCCTTATGCTTATTAATCCTTCACCCATTTCATTTATATTGACATATAGATGGTCTTTGGAGTTACACCAATGTATTTTGCTTTTCTTAAATATTTTCTTATCTCCAAATCCATTTTATCTAGGTCAGTTACCTTCCAATTTACTAGTGATGCTGGATATCTGAAGATGGGTATTACTTCAGTATTAATTCTTGTAATATAACTTCTATTACTACTTTCATCAGTATTTATTTCTTCCATTTTCTTCATCATCTTTTCTTTGATGATTTTACAATTGAATGTATCATTAATTTCATCGGACTGCCATACTCCTAAATATTTATACAATTCCTCTCCTTCAATTAATGTGATGTTTTGCATTCAATCTGGTATTTTATTAATGTTCTTTAATACCATTCCTGATTTCTTTTCATTTCCATCACTATTCCACTTATTATTTCTTTAATTTCATTGTGGATTGTTCCCATTTCTTCACTACTTTGTGTCATTATTCTCAAATCATCCATATACAATGTATGGTTTGCTTTTGAGAACTTCTCTTCTATGATTTGAGAAATTATATTCATTTGGATGATGAAGAGTAGAGGGGATAATGAATCACATTGTAAAATTCATCAATTTAATACATCCTAGATATTCATTATATTTATATCATATGAATATCTTCCATCTGTTCATCATACTTTCTACAATGTCTATGATGATACCCTCTACATTAAAATATTTAAGTGCTTCTATTACCCATTCATGATTTACTGATTCATATGCTTTCTTAATATCATAATATGACTCTACA